ACAATCTCTACATTTTAATTGATGCATTTAGTCCATTAAATTTAATTACTAATATGGTTGGATTTAAGTCTATCATCTTGGAATATATTTTCTATTTATCCTATTTGTTTTTTATTTATTTTTTGTTTTCCGACTTCTATTGGTCAATTATATATTTTTTAGTAATTCATTTTTATTTCTTGTATTAGTTTTTTAGCTGTACTTCTTTGCTGTATTTTTTAGTGGTTGCTCTAGAGAATATACTTTTATCTTTAAGGTACCACGGTCTGCCTTTGAGTATTATTTGAACTATATGAAAATTTTTAAGAATATAATCCATGTATCTCCCTCCCTCCCTTTGTGTTCTTACTGTCTTATGTTTTACTTCTACATGATTATAAACTCCACAATAAAGTGTTATTATTTTTGCTTTAAAAAGATTTTTTAAAGACATTTAAATACACACACACATAAAATAAAGATATTTTAAAAAGGTCTTGGATTTTTACCCAGATATTAACCTGTTTGGTATTCTTCCTTCATGCTAATCTGGGGTGTTTCCTGGTATCATTTCCCTTAGTCTAAAAAAACTTCTTGTAGTATTTCTTACAGTGCAGGTCTATTAGAGACAAATTTCCTCAGCTTTTGTCTGTCTGAAAATGTCTTTTTTTCACCTTCATTTTGAAAGATATTTTCACTAACTTGCCCCGTTATCTTTTCTGACAACTCACAGCCTAGGAAGAAGAAAGAACTATGAAACAGGACAAGCCAAATCAAGGATATAATGCTAAGAGATGATAGAAATTTTAAAGAAATGTCAATTCATCAAGTTTACAGAATACAAGACTTTTGGGTCCTTTTAGCATCTGAAAGAGGTGACTATGAGGAAAAAGAAGGTTAAAATGAAGAAAAAAGACAAAGCAGAGGAGTTGCAGGCTTTCTATATATTAAGGAAGAGAATCAGAGGAATTTCTATGTTTTCGTACCGACAACACCATTAACAGAATGATCCTTCTCCTCTGACCAAGAATTTCTTTTACCCTGGACAAAGACAGATTCATCTCTGTCATTCTTTTTGATGTAATAGATAAGATTTCCACATTTCTGTCCATTATCTAAGCTCCATATAAAAAAGATATGCACTCGAAATAGCAGAGAAGGAGATAAGATTTTAAATTACAAACGCCCTGCAAATGTACAAAGGCTATGAAACAAAACAAAATCATTTTCTTTGTATTAGAATTCCTTTAAGATTCAAGTACATCAAGTACCCTTTCCACAGTAACTCTGCATTCATTTATCTAATGAACAGGAAAGAATACCATGAAAAAGTATATCAAAAGATAAAGCAAAAAGCTCACCTAGGCCAAGAATTTTAACCTATTATTTCATAAAGTCCACTATACCAGCTGTATGGGATTATTTACTGGCAATTATCTATTCCTGCCTCCTTCTGTGTTCTTCTGTATGGGAAGGGCTGGAAGCCTGGAAACTGTATTTCCTAAGCATTTTTGCCATCGAGGTTCTGGATCTAATCTAGGTTCTGCCAATCAAATGCACTTGTGCCAGGTTTGGAAAGGAGAAAGGGAGGCACAGTCCATTTTTTCCCGGCCATGGTGGCAGCTGGTGTGTTGGCTTTGGCAAACATGAGTTTCGAAGTACCAGACTCCATATTCCAGTGTCACTCAGCAGCTTTGGGACTTTGAGGTGCCTGTGACGTTGGTAGTGATTTCCTACAGCCTCTAACCAATAAAGTTGCCATGGTAGATAAACAAAAGGTGCCAGAAGAGGCCGAGAGAGCCACATACTGGATCATCAGAGAATAACAGAATGTCAGAGCTTGAGCTCATCTAGAGTCTAGAGCTCATCTAGACTAACCCTCATTATTTTATAGATGAAAACAATCCCTGAATGGTTACAAGTTATTGTTTACTGGCATCCTTTCAGTGTGCTTTTAAACACATCATATACTGCTTCCAATTAGTCTCCAAATAATCAAATAGCTAAGGTGTTTCCATTAGCATATAAACATGTAAACCTGGTAAAATATTTCCGATACAAAAATAAACCCTCTCTTGGTCCCTGTAGCTATTCCATTTCTCTGTTCCCATTTTTGGGGATCACCCTGAAATAATTTCTCCACCACCTCATCCATTATTTGGAAACCCTGGTGGTGTGGTGGTTAAGTGCTACAGCTGCTAACCAAAAGGTCAGAAGTTCAAATCCACCAAGCGCTCCTTGGAAACCGTATGGGGCAGTTCTACTCTGTGCTGTTGGAATCGACTCAATGGCAATGAGTTTGGTTTGGTTTTTGGTTCATCTACTATTACTTGCTGAATTCACTTCAATCAGGCTTTTGTCATCATACTCCAGTGAAATGGATTTTGTCAAGATCACTAATAAGTTCCAATGATCAAATTCAATGATTACTTCTCAGTTCTCATCTTACTCAACACCTCTTAGCCTCGGTAACAGTTAATCACTCCCTCCTTGAAGAACTTTGCTTCAATTTTGGGACACTACTACCCTACAGCTTCTCCTGTCTTGCGGCCAGTGACTCCTCTTCCTTCTCAAGTGCTGGTTCTTCTTCCTAGTCCAGTCTATAATGCTGGAGTTGGCCAAAGGCTCAGTTCCTCACTCTCTTTTCCTTCCTCTTTACTTTTTTCCCTAGGTCATATCATCCCAAATTAAATTTCCAGTCTCAACCTCTCCCCTAAACTCCAGACCTGAATATCTGATTGTCCACTTGACTTCTCCTTTTGAATGTCTAATAGCCATGTCAAACTTAACATGTCTAAAACTCTTGATTCCTGCCTCTAACTCCTTCCCCAGTCTTCCTCATCTCAATGAAAGGAATCACCATTCATCCAGTTTAGAAGCTATAGGAATTATCACTGATTGCTTTTTATTTTACGTCAGCCATTTCTGTTAGCTCTACTTTGAAAATATATTTGGCACCCGAGTACTTTCCTCCACGTCTAAATCTACCACGCTAGTATAGGCCAAAACGATCTTTCACTTAAGACTACTAAAATTACTACTTAGCTGGTCTCCCTACTTCCACTCAGGCCTCCCACCATGGTCTACTCTATACAGCAGCTAGAGTGATTTTTTAAAAAACATAAATCAGTTTAAGTCACTTCTCTGCTCAAACCTTTCAATGCCTTCACTCATACCTAGCATGAAATCCAAAGTTCTCACCACAGCCCGTGAGGTTTGATATGATCTAGCCTCCACCGCCTCTCTCACCTCATCTTAGTCACTATACTCCAGTCTACTGAACTTCTTGATGTTCCTCAAATACTGAAGCTATTCCCTCCTGCACGGCTTTACATCTGCTGTTCCCTTTGTCTGGAAGTTCTTTCCCCAGATTTTCTCCTAGACCTTTATATTGTTACTCCTTCATTTTCTACCTATGACAGAAGCAATGTTATGTTCTCACCAAACACTTTCCTTCTTCCTGAGCACACAGATATACTACATTTTCTCAGTCTCCCCAACGGCAGTTTAGACAATGTGACAGTTTTATACAACTGAACACCGGCTAACGTCTAGGCCTGATACCTAAAACATTTTACGTAATTTTCCAAGCTGTCACTTTCCCAAACCCAAAGTTAGAACCAAAGGATTTCAAGTTGTTGAGACCACACATTGGAAGGAATCTGGACCCCTTTCTGCTTGGAGAAAAGCTGTATCAGACTTTCTGTGAGGAAAAAAAAAATTTATTCCATCAAGCCACTGAGATTTTGGGGCTATTTGTTATAACAGCTGACATTAATTACCTGAACAATATCTTGCTCAACTGGGAACTCTCTGAAGAAGACTTCTCTGACCACCCAATCTAAAATAGCCACTCATCTCTCAATTCAAACTCGTAACCTCCTACTTTGCTTTTTTTTCTTCAGAGAACTTACCTCTACTCTTGAGTATATTACGTATTTATTTACTTGTTTGTTGTTTGTCTCCCACTAGAATGTAAGTTCCATGAAGGTGGGAACTTGATGTGTGTGTGTGTATATACACACATATACATATGTATGTATACACACACATATACATACCTACATGAATGCATGCATGCCTGCACGCGTGCACACACACACTATATTCCCAGGGTCTAGAACAGTACCTGGCTCTTTATTACCACCAGAGGTAATGTTTGCTGAGAGCTTATAATGGGCTAGTTGCTAGTCTAAGTGCTTCCGAAGTAGTACTAAATAGCCGATGAATGAAGGGATGACTATTAATGGTGCTTTGTGGCCAACAAAGCCCTAATAAATAAGTTCCCTTTGTTTAATGTTTGCATACATACTTTTTCAACCTTTTATTTTCAACCTGTGTCTTTATATTTAAAGATATTAACCCATAGTAGTACCCATTTAAGTTCATAAATGCCCTCATGGAGATGTGTCTGCCATCACTTCCAAGCTGTTCCCATGTTTCAACACCCTCTTTCTGAAAAGGTCAGGAGCCCTAGCGGTGCATTGGTTAAGTGCTCAGCTGCTAACTGAAAGGTTGGTGGTTCGAACCCACCTAGCAGTTCTGTGGGAGAAAGACCTGGCAATCTGCTTCCATAAAGATTACAGCCAAGAAGACTCTATGGGGCAGTTTTACTCTGTCACACAGAGTCGAAAATCAACTTGACAACACCTAACATCAGCAACAATGAGAATAGAGGAGATAAGCAGTATCATTTATTACATCATTTGTGCAAAAATATTTGATACCGTTGTCCAGGCACAGGAACCCTGGCTTGAAAGCAGATTTGAGGGAAAGAGGAGGAAACAGCACCATGCACGAGCAAGATATGCTAGTGCTATAAGACCTAAACTAGTGCTACTGAACCTGGGAGGTGGGGAAGGAGGGCTTCAGTGGCGGTGACAGCTGCATCAGAGGCAGCAGAAGGTAGAAGAAGTGGCTGAAGCTAAAGGTCCCCAAATCTTCCAAGGAGATAGCAACTCCAGCTGGGGAAGCCTTCCAGCAAATATTCCAAACATGATCAAAGACAAGCAGAAACATACCTGAAGAATACGGGTTTTCTGTTGATTATTTGTCATTCTTCTTGACTTGGTCCTTTCCACTTCGTGTCTATGAACCCACCCTCGAAGTTCATGATTTAACCTATAAAACAGCTTAATTAATCAAACATATTTCATGGAAATAAGTCTCACTCCTTACTTGGAAGTGAATTTAATCATTCTGCAGGTTCCAAAGAAGATTTCAAGTGGCTGATACTCAGTATTGCTTTTGGATTTGAAAAGGCTAAGACATTTAATAGTAAGTTGTTTTTAATAAGACATGCATACTTACAGGATGTTGTTGTTGTTGTTATTAGGTGCCATTTAGTTGGTTCTGACTCATAGTGCTTTTTTGCTGACCCTCTATTTTACCAAGCGTGATGTCCTTCTCCAGGGACTAGATAGCCTCCTCAATCATGAATTCAAAATTCAAAAACAAAAAAACCATAGCTACTAACCTGCCAAATATAAATACTAGCTGCAAAGATTTTTCCACAAAAAAAGTATTTCCAGTTTTTGCTCTTGGGCTGTGTGCACACAAACATCTGAGATGCTGGACAGAACTTAAGTTATAGGACCCCTAACAAAAAACGAATGCATGAAAGCCTTTGAAAATCACGCTCTTTTGGAAAAAAGAAAAAGAATGAACTGCCAGGAAAAAAAAGAAAAAATCAATGCACTATAATTCAAATTTTCCAACATTTAAAATAAAAAAAGGCTAGTTCAAATATAACTTCCCTTTATTTTGTTACCTTTCAGAGCAGTTGGAAAGATGTAAGACTATGCTTATTAAAGAATTAAGTGATTACTACTTATCACAAGAACACTGAGGCAGTTTTAGGGGGTCAAGGGTAGGATCCATAATCATAGGAAAAAATTGGGTAAAGTTTATAAGGAAGGGTATACTAATGGGAAAGTGTCTCCAGAATCACATATCTTCAAATTATCATCTTCCCAGTTTGAGGAAAACAGTACCTTCTGCTACGAATGTTACCATCACCCAGCCTAACACTTACCTTGAATTTTTATATTAATATCGTTCTGTAGTTTTTAAATGTTAAAACATATTTAAGTATGTAACCTTAATACCATTACTTGAAATAGACTCATTACCATCTCTATCAGGTTGGTTGGGAAACTGAACAACAATTAATATACCTATGGTTATCCAGCAAGTAATTCAGAGGCTTCTCTCTGCCACTCAGTCAGTCTGAACAAATACTGTTCTAATTCCAAAGCTAAACACAGGAACCCATTCAGATATTTCTGCAATAATCCACAATACTCACCTGAGAGACTCTGTTGTGTTAATCAGGGGTTGACAAGGAGGTGGAGGAATATAGAGTAGTGGTTCTTCAGTTAGCACCATCAGGGCTTTGTCATTTGAAACAGAATGGTCGTACCTGAAATATACATGCACAAGGTCTATTCCCTTGAGTCTTAAATTCCTAAGAAAAACTCTGCTACAAGAAAATCATTACTATTACTAACTTTTCACAGAAATAAAAATATAGTAAATAGAACATACCCTGAGACAGAAGCAAATGTATTAGAAAGGAGGAAAGCATAGACTGTAGAGCACAGTCATTTTCCAGTTTTCTACAGAGATATCATGGTAATTCACATCTAGACAGCCACTGCCTACTGAGTAATTATTAGGTACCAGACCTAGGGACATAATGATAATACATGGTTCCTGCCCCTCAGTGAACTCACAGCAAGGCATACACAGTGCTGCTGGAACGGAGGACATGACACAGTAATGGGGGAGGCTGGGAGAAAGACCACCTGGTTGATTAAAAAGGGCAGCATTTACCAGTGACCAGGACTAAAGTTTTGTTTTCATTTATAATTCTGTGATACCAAAGCTGAACTGTATCCTTTAAAAAGGTATGGGGGTGAAGGAAAGCATAAAATATTTGGCAGGAGAAAAGTGAAAGAGTTGAAAAGCTGAATACAAATTTTAGAATCACGGGGAATCTAAATCACTAGTATAACACCAGCAGGATATTAACCAGTTACTCTACAGGCTTCAAAAAATGTACTTTCCTAACCACCAAGCTAATTCATATCCTAGGAAATGAGGAAGGCTGTGGTAGAGAAATCGTTGGAGGTAGAACGGGGAGAGGAACCTAGAGTTCCACTGTGGATTTGTGAAATTTGAAATGTTAAAATAGAGATATCAAGGAGACTGTTGGATACATGATTTCGGAGACTCAGAAGAGAAGTCCAGACTGGAAACATAAATTTTAGAGTCCACAGGATATACAGATATGAATTGTGTGCTAAATGATAGATCAGGTCACCCAAGCAGAAAGAAAACAGAAAAGTTCACAGTACCAAATTTTGAGATTTGAACAGAGCAGGAACCCACAAAGATTGACTGCAAAGCAGCAACCAGTTAGGCAGGATAAAAACCAAAAAGTACAGAACACAAAAAGAGAATGTTTCAAGGAGGGAGGGATCCATGCAGCCAAATGTTGAGGAAAGGTCAAGTAAAGACTGAGAGAAGTTTCCATTAAATTTGGCGACACTGAAATCACTGGCACACTTGACAACAACAATTTTTGCAAAAGGTGAAAACCAACCTCAAGGTAATAGTTAGAGATTTTTATGTATGCCACCATACACAGGGAAAAGAAGAAAGAACTGAGGGTTTATAGAACATTCTTCCCTGCAACTTGCACCAGCAACTTTCTTGATGTCCTCTCTTCTGGCTATTAGGATTGTGTGGAATAAAACAGAGATGTTGGTACACAGATAATGACAGCATTCAAAAGCAGATCAGATTAAAATTAAGTGTTGAAGGGAAAGAAAAGGAAATCTCTCTTGTACTTGGTAATGCATACTCTTCTGAATACCTCTAAGGGAGAGGCTTCTTGCCATGCTAAAAAATCAAGAACAAAGACTTGTCATATATGTGTTATTTTAAAAAATTGTGTCTGCATACTGAAACCTACAAACACTGCAGTCCATCAGAAAAGTCCAGAACTGCTTTAGAAAATATATTTCTGATTTATGGTTTTTTTTCCATGTGATAAACTCTAGTAATGACTTCTACACATCTGTGCTGACTGGCTTTGTTCTACCAGCCAAAAATATTCTTGGAAAAAAAAAAAAAATCTGAGAGAAGGAACACCAGGAAAGAGACTGGGTGGAGATGAAGGAGAAAGGAAAGGGAGAATCTAAGCCAACATGCAATCTGGAGACAATCAGACCCACACCAACCCTGAAACGGTCAGAGTTGTAGACGCTTGCAAACCACTCTATGTCAACAGAAAACATTTCAGCAAATAAATCAGTACACTAAGGCCAGTGAGAGTGGGCTAGAGTCAATGAGAATTCCTGGAATAAAGACAGGTTCTGACTGTTGCCTTATATGTAGGGTGACCATCCTTTCGCATTTACCCAAGATTTATGCCTCATGTCCTGACTTAACTATTACTAGGCACTGTCTTTCATTCTTCAAAGTGTTGGTTGATAAACTATATGGTCATCTTATTTATATATCACATAGCTCTCAGATTGAAAAAATATATGCAGTTAACTATTAAATGATAGGTAAATACAGTATTATAAACTATGGGATTAGAATCAATTCCTTTTTTATTTGAACCAGTTCTTACAATTCTAAAAAGTGAAACATGATATAAGTTGTATTAAAAAATAAATACATGAATTGTAAACTTTCACTTAAAGTACAACAATAAAATAAAAACTAAAACTAAATAAATAAATAAATACAGGTGTCATAGCTGAGTATAAATAATCCTAAAATTCAGTTCAAAGCAAATTCATATTTGGTGCTTTCAAACGTTTCACATTTTTTTCATATCTTTTATTCAGTATTTATAATGATTAAAAACAGCATCAAATTAATGGACTGACAGACACGTTTATTTAAGTCTCCCAAGTTGCTTGATAATAATCTTAGACACTTCAAGAGACTAGCATGGAGCCAAGAATCTACAATCTTTTCTGTTTCTTTCCACGACCAGTAACTCAAATATGCACCGGCGATGCTGACTTAGGGGGTGGGGCCGGCAGCTGAGAGATGGCTTGCATTTCATGTACTACTTTGAAAGCTGATAAATTAGAGCCTGAAATTCACTGAGCTAGTATAATCACAGTACTATGCTTTTCAGGAGCCACCATGTTACCTACTCTAAAGTAGACAAGTAAAGTGAAGGCTTCTATTTACTTTTGTTAGTGCAAAATAAACAATACTCTTGTAAACAGATGTTACGTGGACTGTAACGTCAAGTACCTAACAAAAAAAACTTGTTCTATTTTTTACCAGCAAGCTATGCATACCTAAGGGGCACACTTTCAACCCTCATAAGTCTAAAGACTGTTAAATTTTAAATGTGACTTTTGATGAATCGCATGTGGAGAACAGAACTCAAAATTACATAACACGCAGGGAAAGCCTGAACAATTTAGGGAAAATTCAGACACTATTAAACTCTAGCAACATTCAGGGAGACTGTTAAGGGATCACTGTGATTACTATTCCAGAAGTATGGCATAATTTTGGCATGTAAAAAAGCAGAAAATGTTATGTGTTTTCCAACATTATGGCAGCTATCACATTCTATATTACATTATAGTTACTAACATATAATGCTTTGGATTCTCCACAGCACCTAGCATAGTGCTTTGCACCCTACAGGTTCCTGAAAAAATAAATACTGGTATTTTTTCTAGAACGGCAAGATGGAGATAAGCCTACAGGACCATGATAGTAATAAGCCTACAGAACTATGATAATAATCTCATTCAATGGTGTCAGGGTTTGAATCTTGTCCCCCAAAAAATGTGCGTATCAATTTGGCTGGGCCATGATTCCCAAGATTGTGTGGTTGGCCTCCATTTTGTGTTTGTAATTTTATGTTAAAGAGGATTAGGGTGGGATTGTAACACCATCTTTACCCGGGTCACATCCAATGTAAAGGGAGTTTCCCTGGGGTGTGGCCTGCACCACCTTTTATCTCTCAAGAGATAAAAGGAAAGGGAAGCAGGCAGAGAGTTGGGGACCTCATACCATCAAGAAAGCAGTGCCGGGAGCAGAGCACATCCTTTAAACTGGGGTCCCTGCGCAGAGAAGCTCCTAGTCCAGGGGAACAGTGAAGAGAAGAAGGCCGACAGAGAGAAAAAGCCTTCCCCTGGAGCTGATGCCATGAATTTGGACTTTTAGCCTACTTTGACTGTGAGGAAATAAACTTCTCTTTGTTAAAACCATCCACTTGGGATATTTCTGTTATAGCAGCACTAGATAACTAAAAGAAACAGTATAGGTGTTAACAGGATAAAAATCATAAGAATGATTCCCCTATGACCCCTGGCCTATAAAACCTTAAGAGAATTAATAATATACAAATCATTAATGATTTTCAAGCCTGTACAGTGTCATGGTTGCCACACTATGACCTTGCCTTGCCTTGTTAGTCAAGGACCTGGCTCCACTCAGATCTAATAAAAATTCCAAATAACACAGGGAAAATATTTGCCAAAACGTATACAGCTTTGAAAATGTCCACTACAATCTTCTTTTAGTTACCATAATATAGAAATTGTATTTTTGTACAATTATAAGTCTTATGTTTTTGTCAAGCAATATGGAATTAACCAAGTCAGTACTAAACTGTTAACAGGGGAGGAAGATTCAGCAAAGTTCATAATAAATAAGTATAAATCATTTTACCTAATGATTGCAAATAGGGTTTAACCATATCAATCCACCATATCATATCCACCCACAGATGGATACAATAGCAAATATTAGATACATTATATATACAAACATAGGAAAGAGAAAATAACTATACTGAAGTGTTTTATATGCAATGCAACATTTATATATTCTATGTGTTTCAATATGTATATAAATGCATTCAATCTGAGATTTTAAGGTCATATCTCTACAAGAATTCTAAAACTGGGAAAGGTTTCAAAGTAAATTTATTCGTAGAACTGATCTTAACAGTAAAATTTATTAACTGGCCTCAGTAACTTGTCTGTTCCACTAGTCAAAATTTTGTGTGAAAGATTTAGATGTGAAATTATATAATTCTCTATTCAATTAGACAGATATATGACATCTAACCTGTAGCTATTTTTCTGGATGATATCATCTGATGCGTCTTGCCCCTCTTTAGCAGAAAATCCTAGAAGATGCCTCCTTTGATTTGCAGGGTTCACACCAGGATTCACTCTCCTGGAATCTTGCTCCAATATGCTGAAAATAAAAAATATGGGCACTAATTAAAATAAAAATAAGTTGCACACACGCATGCTATATGTAGCACTGAAGCATGTCAGAATTTCTTTACAGGTCCATGTAACACAACAAGAATGCTAGGCAGAGAAACAAGTCAAAACAGTGTATTTATGTAGTCAAATTCCTAGCCTAGTACTCTGTACATATCAAAAATAACTCTGAAAATAATTCTTATAGGTATAAATGCACCTTGTTTATAAACTTTTCTAAAAGGCAGTCTTTCTATATGCTTTAAAAACTCTATAATCATGTTATGTATATATATAATATAGGAAATAAATACAACATATACTTAAATTTTAAACTCAGAATAACTGAAATAAAAAGTCCTCCTGAATGTTGCAAAATGAAGTTTTCAACAAGGGAATACTTCAAATGAAATGGGAATTACTCTTTTCAGCAGTCAAATTTGTTAGCCTTTCATAATTCCAGAAGGCAGGCTATCAAATAAAGTTAACAAAAATTTATTTAAAAAATACTTCTACTTTTTATTTACATGTAAAAATTTTCTATTTACTTCTTTTCTCCCCACCCTCCCTAATACTTTCATCCATCAAATTATGTCCTCTTACTGTGGGACTTAAAGTGATACTTGTGAGGAGTATGCCTCTTAGCTCAAGTAGATACAAGAGACTAAACGGGCAGTTTCTGTCCAGAGGTGAGATAGGAAGGCAGAGAGGGTTGGGAGCTGGTTGAATGGACATGGGGAATCAGGGGTGGAAAGGAGGAGTGTGCTGTCACAGCATGGGGAGAGCAATCAGGGTCACATAACAATGTATGTATAAATTTTTGTATGGGAAAAAATTAAAAAAATTAAAAAAATATCATGTCCTCTTGATGGGTGTAAGTATTTGGGGCAAACAATTTTATATACACATTCACATATATACATATATATATATATATACACATACTTACATACACAGAGAGAGAGAGAGCGAGCGAGCATAAGCAAATGTCTGAGCCCACTGTTCCAGCTACCATGTCAATCTATGTCATGGTGGGTTTCTCTCGTGTTCACTGACCCTCCACTTCACTAAACAATGGGCTCAAAACTACAAACCAATGTGAGGATGGTGCAGGACTGGGCAATGCTTTCTTCTGTCCTACATAAGGCTGCCATGAGTTGGAGCCTACTTGACAGCAACTGACAACAACAAATTAAGCAAATACTGCAACAGTTATTTAACACTTTTAACTCATTAATCATGTGCCTGGAAACTTGGCTCATTAAAAAGATTTTCTGTGTGTGCGCTTTATTTTATAATGTCACGCACGTAACTTAAACACTAGTCATAACCTTGAAATTCAACACAAAGGGAGTCTCCCCAGGGAAGCACTAAAGAAGGGATGCCAGATTCTAATTAGAGAGATGAAGTGGAGGAAGAAAGGAAGGGTTATGAAAAAGAGCAGTTAAGGGCCTTCTGGTTCTAAAAGAAAGTGAGTTCTGTTGTGCATAGCTTGTCTCCAAATTTGGGGGAAGCAGAGTTAGGAGAAAACAGGAAGCAGTGATAGCTCTCTAGAATATTTTTCTTAACACTTATTTTACTTCCCATTCTCCTCAATTCTCGATTCTCAAAATCACTGCTACCCAGTGGTTCTCACATGGTATGCCATGGCGCTCTGGCATACTGCAAACTTTACAGGTGTACCACCAAATTATGACCATTGTGTAAATTTAATTTTGCTGTAACTAAGGCTACATTGTATTACAACTATATTTTTCAGACAGAACGTTTACCTGAGCAGTCATACAAAGTATAAAACTTGCTGCAAATGAGGTCAGAGGCCTAGTGGAATGTCAAACTGAAACTTAGGAAAACTTAGCCTCCTGAGTATTTAAGAAAACAGAAGAGAAGTCGTAAACAATAATAACTGAAGGAAAGTCAAATGAAGTGTGTGATGATAACTTTGGGAATTTTTTTTTTTTTTCTTTTTGAAACTTACTTAAAAAAAAAAAAAAAAGAAGTTTACCTTTTAATTCTTTCAAGTGTGGTGCCAAAATTCTACCTATAAAAGTATGTTAGGAACAAAACAATGTGAAGAACTTCCCCCTCAGTTGACTGAATCTCATCGAATTCAACCCCTCCACTTTATTAGTGAAATCTCCATATAACAACACTCCTGCTTGATGGCAGAACTCCCTCTACCCCTTCAAGGACCAGAAGAAGCTCTACCACCCTGTTAAAGAACTTCCTCTTGAATTAAAGAGAAATTTGCTTCCTTATTAACTTTCACCTTTTGGTCCTAGTTTTGGAGTCTGGCTACTCAGAACAAGTCTAAGCAAGCCTTCTTCCAAAGTCCAAATACATCTAACATCCCTCCACCCCAGGCTTTCTTTTTCAAGGCTCTAGTTTCTTGGTTCTTTCACACATTCCTCTTTACAGCACAGTCTTAGGTCTTTGCACCATAGTCGGTCACTCTCCTCCTGTCAATATGTTTCTCAGAGGTGGTGCTCAGAACTGGCCACAGTATTTCTCAGGCAGTGTAACCATTGCAGAGTGGAGCAGGATAATTCCTTTCCTTGCTCTAGATGCAACCTAATACCATGTAGGCTTTTTTGGCAGTTATATCACACTCTATTTAAAAGTATTTTTCTCACAAACTGATTTTGAACCATTACCTTCCCTTCCTCCCCCACCACCTCTAATTCTGAATTTATGTAACTGAGCTTTTGAATCCAGCTGAATAATTTACATCAATTTCTTTTAAAATATCATTTTGCCTACTAATCAGAAAAGAACTTTTAAGATCCTAATTAGCAAAAGAAACTCAAGCAAGGACTAACATGTCATCAACATCCTCAACTGAGTTGTTATGAAAATATTAAAATAACAGGGCAAAGAAACTGAGCCATGGAGCATGTCCTGGGGAGTTCCTTCCAAGTTTATAAAAATGTAGGTTTAACCACTTATGAATCAATTATAATATCACTTAGTCCAAAATTTCCCATCTTGACCATAAAGATAATCACAAGACTGTTAAATGCTCTTCTAAAATGTAAGCATGGTATATTATAACCGCAGCTACCATTTTTCAAGCACCTACTGTGTACTAAGGAATGAAGGCTCGAAAGGAATTGAGGCTCAAAGAGTTTAAACAAAGTCATGCTCTTAGTAACTAAGGAAACCAGGATTTGAATCCAGAATTGTAACTCTACTATTGCATTATATTGACAATATTTCTAAGAATGACTGACTCGTTTATTCAACAAACGTGTTCTAAATTCCTGTTATGTTCCAGGAACCATATTTGATGCTAAAGATTCAAAGATAAAGGTCAATTTACAGTGTATGTGTGAGAGAGGAGAATGGATATAGATAAAAGATACTAGAGTGATTAGCAACATAATAGGGGTTAATGCAGAATGCTGTGGAAGCGTATAGCTGAGGTACTTTATCTTTACTGAGGGGATCATGAGGTTATCTTAACTATTTTATTCTTAGAACTGATCTTTTTAAAAAAAAAATTTTTATTGTTGTAGTTTAAATGAAGTTTACATTTCAAGTTAGTCTCCCATACAAAAATTTATACTTTGTTATATGACCCTAACTGCTCTCCCCACACTGCGACGGCACACTCTTCCTTTCCACCCAATTCCCTATGTCCACCCAACCAGCTCCTAACCCTCTCTGCCTTCCCATCTCACCTCCAGACAGAAGCTGCTACTTGAGCTAAGAGGCACACTCCTCACGAGTATCACTTTATGTCCCTCCAGTCCAATCCCTGTCTGAAGAGTTGGCCTAGGAAATTTAGTTCTGGGCTGACAGAGAATCCAGGGGACAGGCCTTCCGGGGTCTTAGAACTGATCTTGACAACAAAATTAATTAACTGGCTTCAGTAACCTGTCTGCAGTAAATAAACTGGTGAAAAAGGAAGCTGTGAGTGAGGGAAGGCATTCCATGCAGATAGGATAGTATATGAAAAAGCACATAGGCATAAGAGAGCATGTTTTGTTTAGGGAAGTGCAAGTGAGAGGTAAAGTTAGAGAGGGTCTGTGGGCGGACATGTGCATAAGTCAGCACGCAGCGGGAAGGGGATCAACTCCGAGATACAGGGAAAAGAGAGGAGACTGTAACACTTAAGCAAGGCTAGATGGTGGATGGCCTTGTATGCCACACTATCAATAAGTCTAATAATTTATTCAATAAAGGAAACCAAACTGGTATGTTCGTTCTTGTTTTAATTTTGGCTCCCAGTTATCATATCCCTTCCTACACCAGAGTCTTCCCTGTGATTGTTAAAACTCCCTGCCCTAATGGGGGATCTAACTTCTTTTAAAAATTGGTACTATATTTATCTCTTATTCATTTAGTCTACTTGGTGATTACCACTGCCAGAAAAACAGCAGAAAACTAGAACAGTTCCTCCGTTTTCCTATTTCCTGGCTAGGGGTCTTAAGTCCTCAGCAGGCCTCCTTAACACCATGCACCGTCATTTGCCAAGTCAAAGTGGCTGCTATGGCTTCTAGGAGTAGCTTCTACACTTTTCTATCCTTGAATTCCACTGTCAACTAGCAATTAACACATTTTGTTAGCTCCTCTATATCAGAATGCACCTTCTTCTTGCACAGTTGTTTTCAAACTGTCATGCCTGGACCAGCACCACCCCAGACCTACTTAACCACAAACTCTGTGGGTGGAGTCTGACAATCTGTGTTTGACAAGCCATCCAGGAGACTGTGATACACACCAACATCGGAAAAACACTGTTCTAAAAACAAATTCTGCTTTGCACAACATCTTTCCTACCTTCAATTCTCTAAAACTTACATGTTTTTCACCATGGATCTGAAAGAAGTAGAGAGTCTGGGAAGAGGGATGGGGAGTTGGAGAGGAAGGACACAGAAAGGCATTTGTATGGTTTATGAGTGACATAAATTAAAACAGTTCTTTTTGAGTCAGAATTATTAATACTTTAAGGTTTTTTAAAAGTCTTTCTATTGATCATTATTATTT